GAAGAAGAAGAAGAAGAAGAAGAAGAAGAAGAAGAAGAAGAAGAAGAAGAAGAAGAAGAAGAAGAAGAAGAAGAAGAAGAAGAAGAAGAAGAAGAAGAAGAAGAAGAAGAAGAAGAAGAAGAAGAAGAAGAAGAAGAAGAAGAAGAAGAAGAAGAAGAAGAAGAAGATATTCCACTTGAATATATCACAGCAAATCACAAACTCTTTCCAAAGGATGCTTCTCAGTTAATACTACAAAAACTACAGTGAATTGTAAAGGCTTTGCTTTACCTGGGATAAATGAGAGCAGACATTTAGAAATCCTCCTAACCTAAAAGAGGATTAATCCCGCCCTGTCATTTTCACTCCCGCTACTGTTTCCCAAACTTTTCTCAGAGACAGACTAGGTTAACCCCTCTTCAAACCTCAAGGAAGCAGCTGACTTTTATCTAGGCGCAGAAGTCACCCACTACTCTCTCACCTCTGGTGGCCATCTGGAAGAATAGGCGGGGCCGGGATGCCCTAATGGCCGCTGACAAGCTGCCTTCCCTGCCCAAGAACGACGCCTTCCTTTCGGGCATCAAGCGAACTCTCAGCCTGCCTTCCCCGGAGCGGATCCACCAGCTGAATTCCTCGGTCAGGGTAAACTCGAGCCGGCTCGCCGTCGCCACGACTCCTGCCTCGGACCGCCAGGCGCAGTCGTCCCTCAGGTTGGTCTCTCCCACTTCCAGCACCAGCTGCTTGGCGCGGCGCAGCTTGCGCACCGCGCCGGCTTTCAGCACCTTGGACTGGGTTCTGGCGCGGCCGGCGGGCTCTGCGGCTCCGCTCCTCGGCGGCCAAGAGCTAGCGGCGCGCAAAAGCGGCGGGCAGTCCAGCACCAGGCTGCAGTGCGCCTTGAACCGGCCCAAGGGTTCGCCTCTGCCCCCGTCACCCAGCACCAGCTCCCTCAGGTAGGTTCGGAACAGCGACGGCACGATGAAATCCATGGCTAAGCTCTTTCTCTGCTGCCGGGAGAAACTCGGGGCATCTCGGGGCGGCTGCTGGCCGCCAGCTCGAGAGCCCAGGAGGGGGCCGCCCGCGTCCACAGTCGCCCCTCGAGTGGCAAAGATAAGGAGATGAGCCAGAAGGAACGGCGGGAAACCAGCGCCTTTCATATTATCAGGCGGCCACAAGGGGAACAAAAAAAAATTTTTTTTTATTTTTTTTAAATCTTTCCCCCGTCCCAGCCTCTTCCAGCGACCCCCCCCGTTCAGTCCTCCCTTTAAGCCAGGTTATCGGCCGGTAGAGCCACCCTGGGACCGGCTCCGCAAGCCGCGCGGACGAGCGTCGCAAGGTCTCGTCCTATCCCCGAGGCGCGCTCTGCCTCGGAAGGAGCGGACTCGGAGGGGAAGAGGGTCTCTTCGCTTCGAGCTGGCGCCAGCCCCTTTCAGCGGACTGAAGAACTCCCGCACGCCGGCCGGCCCGCCCGTGCTCGGGAAGAGGGCGCCCAGCACCCACCCCGTTCCGGCACACGTTCAGCCTTTTCCCACGTCGGAAGGAACCTCTGGCCGGGTCCACGGAGCGGGCTAAAGGCTTTTCCTCTGGGATCTTCCAGCCTCTGCCCAGAAATGCGAGAGGTAGAGAAAGGGGGCGTTTATCAGATCGTCCCTTCACGTCCGGCGTTCTCTGGTCTCCAGGCGAGCCGGCTCAGGAAGCGGCGAGCTCCCCTTCACGTTTGCTCGCGCGGCTCCGCGTCTGTCCTAAGCCAGGCGGGCGCTCGCAGGGGGACTGAAACGAAGGCAGCCCAAAGAGAGGGTGGTCTGAGGCGGCCTCTGGCGCCCTTGTTTTAGCGGGAACCAACTCTGGCTTGCGGGGTGACTTCTTTAAGCCCGCGTTGCCTTTCCTTCTGCGCTCGGCTTTCCTTCGGCTTGGAGCAGGTGACGGAGAAGGTGACCAAAAGCCACAAACGAGGAGTCTCGGGCAGCTACGCGCGGCTCTTTTTTTTTTTTTTATTTCCCCTCCTCTTGCCGCTCGACAGGCGGTTTTTGCTGGGCGATTCAGCCTGGCTTCTTCTTCCTCTTCGGCCGCCGCCACCGCCGCGGCGAAGATTTTTGACAGGCTCCAACTACCCGCCACAACCCAAGCAATACCCTGTGAGTGCTGACATCACGCACGAGCGCGGCTCGCGGCAGCCAATAGCCGCCTCCGAAGAATTCATTATGCAAATGAGCAAAAGGATCGATAGGGAAAGCTTGAGCTGGAGAAGAGCCGGCCATTGAGAAAGAGAGAGAGAGAGAGAGAGAGAGAGAGAGAGAGAGAGAGAGAGAGAGAGAGAGAGAGAGAGAGAGAGAGAGAGAGAGAGAGAGAGAGAGAGAGAGAGAGAGGAAAAAAAAAAAACCCCATCATTTTCAGTTTTACGGATGGCGGTCCGGGCTCGCGGTTGGAGATGAATGAAAAAATCCCTTGAAGAGGAATTTGCCGTTTTGTACTTTCTTTAATTTTATTTGTAAAAATATTAGACGGATCTAACAAAAGAAAAGCCACTGTGAAAATACCACGGGACGTGCTTTGGCCTTTAATTCACCTCCTCTGGCTGCTGGAACTGTAAAATGTTATAAATCACCGGCCAGGAGAAATAAGGTGATTCGTACTGAACGTAGGAGACGCATAAGGAAGACTATTATAGCAGCAAAGGATAAATGCTAGAAAAGCCCCAGGTGCACCGAATAGGCTCACTGTTGCTAAATGGCAATGGAAGTGAAATTCTCAAGCTGAAATGCTTTATCTGAAGGCAACAGCTGCCTTACCTGCCTGGAGGAGTTGTGACAGCTTTGGCCTTTTTCCTTTTTATACAACTCTAAACCCTTGCCCAACTCTTTCCCTGTCATTTGGATTTCTCTGGCAATTGCAGCAGCCAATGAGAGTCAGAAAGAAGAAGGGAAGTGGTTTAACTCTTTCCCAGCAACTAGTATATTGCAGTTATATTGGAAAATGTGGTAAATGACATCCGCAATAGCCCTTAGGAAAAACTCTTATTTTTCCAATCCATCTGCTTTCTGCATTGACTGGTGTGTGGTCAAGTCATGCCAATTCTTAGCGACCAAATAGATTTTCTCCCTGACGATCCTCCAACTCTTCCAAAAGTTCACCATCAC